GACATGCCTGCCGACGGCCGCCGCCACCACCAGTGTCCAACTCAGCCCGGGCGTCGGAGTGGAACCGTGTCCCTCAGGGTCCCCGGTGGGACTTCTACCAGTGGGCGCCTCTGGATGGGCCATCTGCCCGACTCAGGGGCTCCAGGCACAGCCAGCCCATCACAGTCCGGCTCTTCCCACCCGGTCGCTCCAAATCTTCCACTCCGCCCGCGTGCTCAGAGCTGACTGCGAGAGTCCCACTCTGCCATCTTAGTTCCAACAAGAACCTCCTGGGAGTGAGGAGTCTGACAGAGAGCCGGAGACCCGGAGCTGACAGCAGACCTGGTCACTCCTTTATTGGAAGAGGTATGCGCTGTGTCACCCGGTAAGCCTGAGACCCCAAGGAGATTTCCAGTTGAAGATTCAGAAGGTTCGCCTTGAGCTCATAGTGGCCCTGGATGAAGCCGCGCGTGTGGCAGCTGCGCCAGCGCCAGTAGACCTGGATGATGCGAACGGCGTTGAGCAGGCGGCAGTACCGGTTTCGGATTCGCCACATGCGGAACCAGGCCTGCACTCTGACAGCCGCCCATTCTTGCCGGGCGTAGTGCTCCAGCACCATCTGCCGCCTCTTGGTCAGCACCTTCAGCTGCACCTGCCGCCACCAGCACTGGATGGTCCAGACGCGGAGCGCCGCGTGCAGCAGGGTCCTGCGCACCAGGGTGCCGCGCCACCAGGCCTGGATGGACATGGCTGCGTCTTCTCTGGTCATGGTGTTCTTTTTGGGGTCTTGCAAGGGAAAACAGGACACTCAGGACATGCCAGCTCAGCCCCGGGGTGAGCTCGGAAGGGGCCATGACTTGCAGTCAATAATCATGCCTTTCCCAAACTGCAGGGGCCGTGGGCATGGCCGTGACCACAGCCCCAGCCCAATACCGCCTCTCCCATCCACTAGTTACTTGTCTTGGGCACGCTGCCTTGCCCCTATGCCTCGGTCTCCCTCTGTCAAACTGTGCCCTGCAACCTCACCCTGCTCTACGTCCAACGGGCTGGCCAGTTCAGGGTAAGAACATCAGAATCTACGACCCAAAGTGGTCATGTCCCCCCCAGGATGAGCCACCCACCTGGGGTCCACATCCATCTCCTTCACACCCACCCACCTGTTGGGGAAATAGCAACCCTGGTTCCTCCTGCCCTCTTCCCTCTGACTTCCGCTCAGACCCGCAGCCTGCTCCCCGGGTCGCACCAACACTCAAAGATGTGTCAGTCCCCATGCTTTGTGAGCAGGCTGAAACTTCAGCCAGCACACACACGCGGCCCAAACACACAGACAAACTCACTTTGGGACTTTGGTGGCATTTCCCAAACATGGTCCCCACCTTACAGCCCTCCACCCACTCCCTGCCTCGCTCCTTCCCACCACCCCTCCTGTGTCGACCCAGCCCGCAGGTCTCTCTCTAAGACGGGGATGGGGGAGAGGACAGCCAAGGGGGTGCCGATTTCTGCGGCGTCGGCTCTGTGTCCAGGGCCTTCTCTCCATTTGCCTGCAGCGACCTCCACTCAACCTGCTGTCCTCCGGCAATAACGGCCAATGGCCCTTGCACACACCCAAGTGTCTCTCTCGGGACAAGAAACTACATGGTCACCAACCTCTGGGCACCAGACACATCGCAGGTCAAGGCTCTCCAACACTGTAGAGCCTGGCCCCAGCTACCTGCGCAGGGCTAAGGAGGGCAGTGGCAGTGCGTGCATGGAGGTGTCGGATGGAGTCCCCCCCCGGGCACCGTCCACCCCCTCCAGCCGTTGCTCCTTCAAGCTCCTCAACCAATTCGACTCCATCGCTAGCGCTTTGGCATGTTGACAGGGGCGTGATGCCCTGTGATCAGAGTTTGGTGGGGGGAACAGGGGTCTCTCTCCTGGCTGGCACCAAGTCGATTGTTAGCTCCTCCTGAGCTCTCCTAGGACCAGGACTGAGGGGGAGGGGAGGGGAGGGTTCCCAACCTGCACTAGCTGGGAATGTTGGGGAGGGCGGGAGTGGGGGTCGAACCCCCTCCTGCCTACACGCTGTCAATTACCCATGGTTAGGAGGTAGATAGGTCCATGTCCGGTCTGCGCTCCTTCTGCCGCGGCTGCAGCAGAGAGAGTGGAGGGGTGGGGGTGCTGATGTCATAATAGCGGCTGTGACTCAGGCACCAGCCAGGCTCCCAGGGGCTGGGCCCCTCCGAAGAGGGAGCAAGAAAAACTTGTCCTCCTGCCAAAGCCCGGGGGGCGGAGGGGGGGGGCAGAATACCCCAATTTCTGACCCATTGACACTTAAGATGTGTAAGAATAGTCATCAGAGCCTGGAGAGTCCTCAGCAAATGAACCCCAGTTCCTTTCCACGAGGCTGGGTCTTGTAGAGGAGCCCTTGGGGGGGTGGGGGCGCATGCGCGGCGCTGGGCTGACAACCTCAAGGCAGCACCTTGGGAGAAAGACGGGGCTCTCTGCTCCCGTCAAGAGTTGTGGAAACACAGGGGCCGCGGGTGGCTGTGAGTTTGGTTTGGGATTCAAACCAAATAATGCGCCTCCCTGTGGGTGAAGGGGGCTGTGAGCGGGCTGCTAGCCCTCCAGGGCGGCAGTTTGAAACCACCAGCTGCTCCTAAGGGGGAAGGCGGGCTCTCTGCTCCTGTGGCCCAGACGCTCAGCCTTGGGAGCCCCGGGGCGGGTCCACCCTGTCCCCC